ATATATATAGTCAGAATGACCTTACACAGAAAAGGAATTGAGATTAAAGAAAAGGTAAGTTGACTCTGGTAAAATTCTCTCTGAATGTGTGTCTTTGTATTATGTTTGTCTTTTCTTCTGTTTCCCTGAGTGCAGAGATCATTACATCACTTCACAGTCTCTGTCCTTTTACAGTTTTTTTTTTTTTTAAGCTATTCAGCTCCCTCTGTCGCAGCAGGCACTGGCCACAATGTAGCGACACATCATAACTCTCCTCTGGAACACTTCCAGAAACTCCTGACAAAAAAGGTCAGGAGATTATGGCAAGTGCGTATGTGTGCTGGTGCTGTACAGTCCAGATATATGTGCAACCTAACAAAAGGAGAGGAGGGGAGACAAACCGAGCATATAATAAGAATGAATGAACTGGGTAATTGTGATGATATGATTCTGTTTATGATGGTGGTTATGCAATGGTAATGATAATGCTGATAGTCATGTTGGCATGACAGTGGCAGTAGTGATAATTAACTGACAGCCTTGATGATGACAGTGATGAGTGACAGAGATGAGGATAATGGCAATTAATACTGGATATATAGTGGAATCAGCTGTGGGAATGTTAAATGGTGATTGCAATGAGTTAGACAATGATGTCAATGATGTCAACCATGATAGTGACAGTAATGGTAATGTACTTGATAGTGGTGACAATCATGGAAATAAAAATACTTTTTGCTGGTGTCACCCAAGATGGTTTTGATGACGGCAATAGCTAACTATGAAAGCGATTAACTATTACATTGCTAATGGTGTTGATAGTAATGATACTGAAAACTATTATGGTGCAAATGATCTCAGTGACAAATAACAACCATGCTAAAAAATCATGATAGCTACATATTACATTGATGGCAATGAGGACAAGTATAACAGACAATAGCTATGATCAAGACAATGATGTTACTAAAGGACAATATTACAACAAGTATGCTAATATTAATGTTACTGTGGTGGCAGTTATGATGTAGTCAACATCATGTTACGAAAACAGCAGTGGGGCCAGGTAACGTGCAACTTCCAACCTGTGAATTTTTGACTAGTTGGAACAAAAGGGCTGTTTTTCAACAAGCATGTTTTTTTTAATGTAATCCAAATTGCAAATATTTTGACCCAAACTATTATCTTTTTTTTAACTAAATAGGTAATATTGGTGTATAAACTAAAATATAGTGAATGAAAAAAAAAAAACAGAAAAAAACGAAATGCTAAATAAACTTCTGAAACAGGACAAAGTGAAGTTTCCTGGTTGACAGTATTGTGATTGATGACACCGCCCCTTCTGCCTCTTTTTAGAGATTTTGTCAAACAGGACCATTCACTCTTAGTGTCTAATAACACTGCCACAGCTTGTGGTTCAAAGCATCTGTGCCAAATATGTGCTGAAAAAAAACTGCAATATTTGAAATTCTGGGAAAAAGAATGACTTGGATTTTGATAATGGCAACAACAGTGAAGATGGTAGAGATGATGGCAACATCATGGCTATGAACAACAAATGAAGATGATGTAGATGATTACAACAACCACGAATTACAGTGAAATCCAATGGGCTTTATATAATAAAAAACATGAATAACATTAATTGTAATTGTTAACATGGGTTTGTAAACAAAATGATAAGGAAAGAGTTATGATAAAAATCATAATTTTTGAGAATGGAAGCTGTGTATTATTAGAGTCACTTGTATTTTTATGAGTCCTCTCAAGTGTTACTTGAAAATAGAAATTAAATTCTGCTGAAGTGATATAAATCCAGTGTGGCTTTTTTTGTTCTTTGCTGAAGGTCAGCGGTAATGAGGTGAGGTTAGGATAAAATTGCCGCAGCGACGCTCAAACATTGATAGATTTACCTGAATTTACCTGGATTTACTGACTAAAGCAACTCCCAGTGTATACTCAACATATTATATATTAAGGTTTTAAGTTTATGCTATCCAGCTTGCTCTCAGTATGGCTTCCTGGCAACCTACATTGGCTGCCAAGTGCAGCATTCAGAGCCAAAAAAATCTTGTAAATCCCAGCCTCTCCATTCATTCCCCTTACTTATCAATTTATTCAGCATATTTCAACACTTTCTACCACCCACCACTTTCCATCAGTGAATAAATTGTATTTGAGGTGATTATTGAACTAGCAAATACATGTGTGATTATTGTAATCAGTAGTTAATATTGATTCCTGTAACTTAATTTTCAATGAATGTGTCTAGAATCAGGCAGGAAAATTCAACTGTCCTCTCTCTCTTTCCTGTGTGTCTGTGTGTGTGGGTTTGTGTATTTCACAGTGAGCAGAAAGATGAAAGCTTGCTCTAAGATGAGTGAAAATAAGATGCAATGATGTAGTGATTCTACCACTCAATCTTCCCTGGGATGAGTATGGGTCAGGGAGGGTTTGTCAGAGGAGAGGTGCCATGCCAGCATGGAGTAGATCATTGCTTCCTTGAGGATGAGGTTATGATCAAAGAGATTCAGGTGCTTTAGATTTCTCTGGGCAAACCCTAAGAGAGGCCCCCAGGCTGTTGCAAAAACTTTGGTATCCTCTCCCTTTGCCAGTGTAGAGGACTTATCAAACCAACAACAGTCACAAGAAGAAAAGGGTTGTTTTTTTTTCTTTAGCTCTAGCTTTTTGCTGCAGGGAATAAAGACACAGGAATCCTGGTAAGGCCAGCAAGAAAAAAAATGAGGCCAAGTGCTAAAAACTGATTCAAAGGCTGCCTAATAAAATGTATTCAGTGAAAACTGTTCATAAAAACTTCTTCACTAGCATGGTTAAGAAGGCATCAATGTAGAGATGTATGATGAAGAGATTTAGATATATTTATTTAAATCTACCATGTATTAACAGTGACCAATCATTTTATTATAATTAGAAAACCATATTTCAGCTAAATTATAATATGCAGTACAAACATTGATCATTCCCAAATCAACTAACATTTAAATCTACAATAAACGCTGTCCTGGTTCTGTTGCAGGGTCTTCTATCAGTTGGACATCCAGTTGGCAGCTCTACCCTGCGCTCCTTTCCAATGATTAAGGTCAATATCTCTAAGGTTGAGGCCAGGGAACCTTTTCAATAATGTCCATTTCCACAACTTCTATCTGTGTATCACTCTTTTAGTCACTACCCAGAGCTTGCGGCCATACGTAAGGGTAAACATGTAAAACATAGCTCAAGTAGTAAGGTCACACTTTTGAATTAAGCTCTATATTTACCCCATTTTTGCAGGTGTTACATCAATCCATTTGACTGTCTCCCACTCCCTTCTTCCCTCACTCATGACCAAAACCCAAAGATACCTAAACTTCTCTACTTGGGATGGTGGATCATTGCCCCAAGTGGGTGTGCCTTCATTTTCTGATGAGAACCAGACTTTGGGATACTAACTGTCATCCTAGCTGCTCAATACTAGAGTCCATCAACCAGTGAAGCCAAGAGCACCACATCAACAGCAAAAATCCAAGATAAGATCCTGAGGCTACCATACCTGTCCTCCCCTTGCCTGAATCTAGAAACATTGTCCATTAAAATCACAAACAGAATCGATGACAAGAGCCAGACCTGGTGGAGCCCGATACCTAAGGGAAATGAGTCCAACTTCTTGCCAGCAATGAAAAACAAACTATTACTACTGCTCTACGTGGACTAAATAGCCAACAATGACAGCCCCCGCACCACCACACTCCAGAGGACAAGGGAAGTGCTTAAATGCGTTCTCCACCACTACACTTTGCCAATTCATTTCCACAACATCCAGAGTCTGAATGGACTCTAGGGAAAGCTCAGCCATCTCTACCTCAGTGACTTCACACCTAGTGATGGAAGTCATATGCATCACACAAACACTGCTTCTATTTCTTGTGTCCTCAGTTGACGTCAGCACGCCAACCCAACCATATATACCTGACGGTTTGCCAGAATTGATTTGAAGTCGACTGAAAGTCTTGTTCCCTGGCCTCATCAGACTTCTCCCAAAGTTTGCCAGTATGGATTTGACAGAGCCATGTCCTTTTTTTTTTTCCAGCATTGATCAGCTACCTCCAGAATCCAACCAAACTTGGCAACATTTCCTGTTGCCAAGTGCACTTTGGACACAATCATGGTCAAACAGTTTCCATTATGGACTATCCATGATCGGCACTGAACTCTAGAAACAGAACTACTCTTGGGGTTACATTATCATTATCCATGTGAGCACTGAAGTACCTAGTAGACAAGAGTGCCTTCGTAGGGATGCTTGCAGCACCCCACCCAAGATTTTCAAGAAGGCCAGGTGTTCTAAGCTAGTCTCAGCATCTAAGCACTATCAATAGTGACAACCCGCTTCCCTGACCTGAAGCCAAAGGAAAATTACCATCTTGTATGAATTTAAATCCACAGAACTAAAGAAGGGGAGCACAGTGGTAAGCGCTGATGCTTCATAGCAAGAAGGTCCTGAGTTCAATTCCACCATCTGGACCATTCACCTCTTTCATTGTGCAGTCTGCAAGTTCTCCTTGTGTACTCCGGCTTCCTCCTACAGTCCAAAGACATGTAATTAGTGGGGTTAGGTTAATTGGCGATTCAGTGTAAATCTGTATGCGAATGGTTGTCTGTGGTAGCCATGCGTCGGATTTTGGACACCCTGGACAGGGTGTACCCTGGACCGGTTGCTATGGTAGCTGGGATAGGCTTCAGCCCTCTCCCTCGTGACCCTGATAAAGGTAAGTGGAAGAGTATGAATGGATGGAGAACTGAAGACGCCTCTTGGGTGAGGTCTTCAAAAAACCTAAAGACATCCAGTCATCCTTAAAGACTACCATGAGAACCTACACAGACATATTTCAGTCCATCCCGTCTCAAGGAAATGTGGATGGACAACTGTGGATGAAAACCCAAGGTTTCTGCTTTCAAAATGCTGCCCAATTCAGAAAGCAGAATATTTATTTTAATTCATATATGTTATATTAAACAGCCTCATTATTTGCAAGCATGAGCTGGATGGAGAAAGGCAAGGATGTTGATATTGTTATGATCTTTTCTTTTACTCCAAGATTGTCTACATGGTATTAGCAACATCTCTGGGCCCCTAACACTCTAATCCATACTGTATCCCTGGAGGTTAATCTTTCACAGGTAATAACATATAATACTTAGAGCCTCCATAAGTAGATGCCACAGTTTGAAACATCTTCACTTCCACATTCTGACTCTTAACTATTCCAGCAATATTTGATGTTAAAACAGAAGCTTCTAACAAGTTCTCTGGGCTTTCCTGTTTACATCTCTATTCCCAGCACAAAAAGGATTACAAATAGCAGCTTTAGAGAATATAAAGAGATTATAAAATGCAAGATACTGGATGGGAGGGGTTGTGAAGGGATGTCCTCAATGAGTTGGCAGATAAAAGGCAACACTATGTCAAAGGTCAAAGCCTCTAGAGCTACGTAGAAAGTAAAATGGGGAGGGAGAGTTCAGACTGATTGGAGTTGCCCTGAAAGAGAGTGAGGGTCTGCGTGTCCATGCAGGCATTCTGAAACATATTTCCCTGTAAATTAAACTGGATTACTTGTCTTCCCCACATCCTTTATCGAGATAACACTTGAAGCTAGCATGGAATTCATTGAATAGATCTGTGTGAGCTTTGTGACTTTCTATAATCTTACTGACGTGTGTGTGTGTGTATGCGTGTGTGTTTGAACTCCCATAAAAACTGCATGATGATGCAGATCAAAGGGATCTGGATGGTTGTGAGTTTTACTTGGATGTAATTGCTGTTTACTCCATCACATTATACAGTAGAGGTGCTTTATTAAGACTTTCTGCCTGTCATTAGAATTGCACTGCAGCAGTCTCAAGGGGATATGACACTATCTCTGGGTTTTATCAAAGACATTTTATTTGTAATATGACTTTTCAAAGATCTGTTATTTTATGGCAATTGAGCAAAGGTTCTTCTTTCTTCTACTGATGAGATTAATGGGTTTCAAGTGGAATGCCATAGCATCATAACACCACTCATTTCAATACAAAGAAGAGTCATTGCAGTTTTCAAAAGACATTCGCCGGAACCCTGAAGTGTTTTTTTTTTAAACAATACAACACGCCTTGCATTAAAGGATTAAATGGCTTTAAATGATTAGCAGTACATGGGGACAAAATAATTTATTTTTATTGCATTTGAGTTTAGAAAATTCATGGCAATAAGAGCAGAACAGGTAACAATGTTGCTTATTTTCAAACACATGGTGAGTTTGACAGAACCAGGCAATATATTTATGGGTTAACTAGCTTGATTACTATATATGGTTATAGAGTCTTCTCTTTATAATTTTCTGTACTAGCACATTGTGGCAGGAAACTGTGGGTTAGCATCCTTGATCTTGTCCCTATGCAGACACAGATTTTATATATAATGTATATAACTAGCCCATGTAGTTATTTATATTACAATGAGTGACCTAAAGTGCAGCAGATTGGAATCTGTTTAACCCTGTAAAGATATACTATTTACAGAAAAAAATGTATAAAGTAAATCTTACGTCAGGGTCCACTTTTCCAGAGCTTTAAATTAAAACATGTAGCTACATGTCAGTCTTTAATTACCAGGATCAATAATTACCTACCAAAGTCAATATTAATGGAAATTAAATATATTAATGATAATATATTGCATACATTCTAACTACAACTTTGTCTGCTTTGAAAACTGATCAGCTAAGCCACAATAATTACTTTACCTTGTCTTACCTTTTGCCGAGTTGGTTCACAGGAGATTTAATTCCACCAGTGAGGTATTTGCCCCTGAGAAGCAGCTTTGTCTCACAGAGATGTTTGCTAAATTTTAATTGCAATCTGCGGTGTGAGCATTCACTGCAATCAAAGAAGCAACATGATTGCTCCACTGAAATTACCAAGTGATAGAAGTGTTTATGTACAGTGAGGACATCGGTGAAAACCTTAAACATAATGCTATGTCATGTGGGTTCCTTGCAAATGCTGAATAAATGTATTTATTCAAGTTTTACATATTAATAGGTAGTAAGTTGGTCCAGCATTGCACCCCACAAGTCTTTGCAGCAACTAGGGCTGAGAAAGATATTAACATGTCTTCTAGTATTTTTATCATATTTACAAAGGTTATTTTGATGCCAAAAACATAAATAGATCTGTTAATGTAGAAAAAAGCCAGTTAGCCAACGGTTAAACTTTTGAACATGATCATATTTTAGAAACGAGGCAAATCAAAACAAAAAACATGCAAAAATGTGTTAAGAGCTGACTGAAGGGTTAATAGTTATTCTATCTGCTGGTGGGATGCAACATAGAAAAGGAAAGAAAAGAAAACAGCAAATCCAAGCAGGTAATCTACATATGTTACAGTTTTAATATCAAAGAATGGTGGAAGACATGTAAATTTTAGACATCAAGCTGAAGAGGACAAAACACATCCAGCCCAAAAAGAGAGTTTACGAGTAAAGAGCAAAAAGAAAATGTCCATCAATTTCAAAAAAAGGACAAGAAATGTAAGAAAATCAAAGAAGATAAAAATTGTAGGAGAAAGGGTAAGTTTGATTTCCCTTGTCATGCAAATCAGTTTGGCATTGGGGGAAAAAATACCTTCGTCGTCCGTGCGGTCACTATCACCTAAATCATCACTGTGTTTCTTTGTAAGGGGACCTATAGGACCAAGAAGGAGAAGATGGAGGAAAACAGGGTGATCAAGAACACAAACAGTCTTCAAAAGATGCTCTCAAAAGAAAGAAAGTTTTTTCAATCATTACTGATTTTATAGCCCCCTTTTTTCTTTTCTTTTCTTTTTTCTTTTTAGAAAAATCTTCACATTGACAAGCAGACTGGGCAAACATTACCACAATGTCCACTTTGTTTAATGTTGGAATTTACTCTGCATGAGTTCATTTAAGAAGTTAAAGACCAAAAAAAGAGGGACTTTAAAAAAAGAGGCAAAAAATGTTAGTTTTCTGTTGAAAATGAAGACTGAACTAAAGATAAGCGTCTCAAGATCATAAACTTTAAAACATTGCATAAAGTAGCATAAATTACACACATCAGATATTGTGGTAACAAATGAATTGATCAGAATAGAAGAGAAAAAAAAAACAAAGACTGTAAAAGAAGCAGAGTTTTTTTTAAGAGCAGAGCACTCTAGAGAATCATGTGACAACTTCCCCAAATGCTTTTTAAAAGTGATTTGATGTCACAACACACACAAACATCTGTCCATACATATCCCTGTTTAGAATATCAACTATCCCAAAATTTTAAAGGCAGTGAGAGAAAGAAAGGAGACCCCCCCCCCCAAAAAAAAAATTAAATATATATATATATTTTTGAGTGATTATTGGGTTATTCTTTATCCATTTATTTTCATGCTTTTGCCAAGGCATGCTATAAATCATAAAGCATGAATAAGCACACATAGTAATCTTCATAATACAATTTAGAATAATCAGTTTTATTTAAAGGAAACAAACTGAGCAATAACACAATAATGACTTTGCTCTGGCATAATAATATTGAGATTAATTATGTGCATGTTTGTTTAATCAATACAAGAAAAAAAGTAAAGTATGAAAGCATCTGACACTTTGAGCAGATACAATAAGGGTACTGAATGAAACTTTTTTTTCATTTTTTTTTTCAGTAGATTCTTTAAATACTCTTTAAAAAAATTTTTTGTTCAACCTGAGTGTTTGTGTAGTGTTTAAGTTTATCAGGCAATTGTCTGTCAAGGGAAGTGGTTAGATGCTTCTCCATAAAAACAACAGTTTGTCATTTTAATATCAGTATTGTTTACATACACAGAGAAGAAACGCATGCTAGCTTAAAGTATTTACACACCTACAAACAAACACACACACAAATACAAACGTAGAGAGGAAAAAATATACATATATCTTCCAAACAAGATCAGAAACATGCAGTCTTAACAAAAAATAACAGAAGCTGTCAAGGTGCATGACACATAGAATAGCATCAGTAGCATACTGGTCCTCCCCCAACCCACCACACACACACACACACACACACACACACACACACATACAGTTGCGCACACATGCAATGGCATCGACAACACGTGAGCCCGTTGTGCCTCAAAGTGCCATTAGTAGATGAGGAAATCACCACTTTAGTCCTTTAATCTATCTTAATTGACCACAGCAGCAAATAGCCGGCACTTTTATGTAAATATACTTCAATTCCATTTTTAAAAACTGATCTAGCAGTTTATTCTATTTATAAGGTCAACGCTAATAAATGGCTCATATTAAACTAGAAATGTCACTAAATGAGTTGTTGTGATTGTTTATGAAATAGACCATAATGGCAGATGACTGACTTAAATGGTTAAGATGGTTCTAGCCAGTAACTCATATCCAAGAGTAATAATTCCTCCATCATAATATCTTGGTTTATTTTAAGCTCACTGATTTCTTTCCAATGACTTTAAAAAGGAGGTTGGCTTACTGCATATCAGTGTGTCCTGCAGCAGTCTCCCAGCTCTCTTTTGTGAATATGACAAGCAATTTGATAAGGGAGAGCTGACTCGTGCTTTCAATGTGCTGAATAAGCACCGAGACACCAAGTCGCTTCTTAGGAAATGGGAAATGTCTAAGAAAGAGAAAGCAGCCACTGTCTAGGGATGTGTCACCTGTTTATAGAGTATGCCGCATAGAGAGATCACTGACAAAACAATACATAAAGGTTGTGAGAAATCTGTGGTAACCTTTCAGCATACACGACGCTGAGTGATATATGTCTCCGTGCTAATACCTGAATATACAGCAAGCCTACAGTTACTTTTCAAACTGTTGCATCTACAATTTAAATGCATGTTCGGACAGACAAGTACACAATTAGTTTTTATATAAAGATAGATATAAAATTAGCAAAACAAAGTGGTGTGTTTATATGTTTTTGACTGAAAATATCCAAACTACAAGAGGACATTTAAATTTAAAATGCTGTTTTATCTGTGTTATTTATATTTATAGGATGTAGAAGCCTAACTTCCAGATCTAGTCTAGTCTTAAGTCTCCATGAACCAAAGCAACTATCCATTTTAGAATGTTAAAATACTTCAACTGGCACAGTACACTGAATATACTAAATATGTCTCAACACCATCAACATGAAATGAGTATCATCGAAAGACAATAAGTAAATAAATAAAAACATTAAAAAGCTGTGAGCAACTGGAAAACCTATGAGAATTTAAAAAAGAAATGACAAAAACAATGCGACTGCTCTCTGGATTGCACATGTGCTGCTTTTATAGGAGCACCTTTTCTGACTTAGGGTTAGTTGGGATCAGAGCAAGACAGCTGCATGACATGTCATATCACACACACACACATGTGGAGAGAGAGAAAACGAGAGAGACATCATTCAACAATCATGTGCCAATACTGAACGTCGCTGTGACAAGAATGTCCTGACACCGACCTGTCCTCACCTGCTATTTTGAACCAGTGTATGCGTGCTTTCATATGTGTGTGGGTAACTGAAGCAGAGATACTGGTGAAGTCTCAGCTGGCATCAGCTCTAATCAGTGATTAGGAACGTGACACTTCAAACATTTTTCAGATAACCTTTGTTTTAATCCCTACCATAGATAATAACCAACCAAATATACTGTACTTCTATTGCAACCCATGAAGTCATTTATAATCCATTTTAACACCAATGTAGAAAGGAATGTAGACATCTAGAAAAATGTGCCTGTAAATTTTCACCCTGGTATTTATATATATATAAAAAAAGTAAATAAAAGTCACTACAGCTAGGATTATCCCCACTGTAGACGCAACACAGGTGTACTTGTCCTTATGTGCGTAGTCTACTAGACTACAAGGGCTCACAGTTGGTGCCCTTTTAGTCTGCTGTGTGGGTGCTGACAGGTCTGTGGAGTCGCAGCAAATTGGAATTCACGCATACATCCACGAGTCTCTTTCACCCTCTGATAACAAAATTTGCATCACCTTTGTCCAAGCAGACTTTTGCATCTTGTATATGGCAAAGGAAAGTATAACACTGGCCTAACGTGTGATTAGCCACATGTGTCTTAGAGAGTTAATGACACAAACCAGTATCCTACCAGTTGGTTGAACCTGCCAATTACTGGCAATATAAGATAGATAACAACTGATGGTGATTCAATGGGATAACAGCATTCAAAATAGGTTATCTTTTTCTACAGTGTGTGACTACTTCTTATCACTTCACCTTTACTGCTGCATGCTAACAAATTGCTGTTCTCTTATATCTGCACTATACCCCCCTTTGTTTTTCAACCAAAAGCACAGATTGGTAGACTAACAGGCTGATCTGTAAATGTGAAAGAGGTGTAATTCAGAGGGAAAGAGCTTAATTGCTTTAAACAGGAACTCAGTAAACACACTGAAAGAAGTTTGAAGATAGAAGTTGAAATTTAGAAATTTGGTACTAGTTCTGCAGAGAAAACCGGGCAAAGATTAAAAATGCTCTATGAATTATTTGAAATATGCAATCAGTTACCATTTAATTAGGTAAATTAGTGCAGACTGTTATCCAACCCAGCAGCTCACTATAATACCTTTACAATGAAGTTCGTCTGACTTTGTTTAGGACTTGGAAGTCTTGTGTCTTATGGCCTCAGCATGTTTTAAATTATTATATTCACAGATATGTGCAGTTAACTTGGTCAGTGGGTCGTTAATAATTAGCACTTATCAAGTTAAAGCTAGAGAAATACCCAAGGTCCCCCTGTTATATTCTTATGGTTCCTGTAATTCTTTTAGGTATGAAAGGGACACTGAGTTTCCTTTTCATACCTAAAAGGACCCCGTACAGCACATTTCATTTTTCTTTTTCCTCTTCATCATTCAGTGGAGCAAAATATTACACTTTGATTTTCAGTCTGTCAGTCTACATCGTCTGCCTTTCTCTGACGTTTGCGGTGTCTTTTTCTCTGTGTCCATCGTTTTCCCTTCTATCCTCATATCTCCCTGCTTCCACCAACAGCATTGATTGGAGACTGATGAAGAGGAGTTTCACGCTCTCTGACACTGCAACAATCCATGACTCAAAAAGCCAGCTGGGAAGCAAGAATGATAGATACACACACACACACACACACACACACACACACACACACACACACACACACACACACACACACACACACACTAAACCCTCAGGCTTTCCCCTCTTCTGGATGAGGTAATTATTGTGAGGAGAGTCCATGCATCGATTGCACATTCTGCACAAGAGCTATCCACACATACATATATTGCTCTCTGTATGCATCAGTCAAGGCCTCTACTGGCATAGAAACACACTAGCATAATCAATCACCGATGCACATTAAAAAGGGGATCTAACAGAGCTCGCTGCTCAATGAGCCAAATAGGTAATCTACAACTGACCTTGGATAAAATCCCCACAGGCTGTAAACTATAAATACAGAATCCATCCCCAAGGTAGAACTGGGACTTTAATGCACTTCAACAAACTCTCTGATGAGGAGAATCACTCAGGAAGCATGAAAATAAGCAGAATGTGTGAAACCTCAGAGAGGTGTGTTACAGATATGTTAGAACTGTGTTATACAATGAGTCTGATGTCCAAAAATATCTTTTTGGGTTTCTACTCGTTTCTTCTCAAGAGCTCATATTAAA